GTTGCTCAAGAAACTTCATGCAACATATTGCGATACCCATCACCCCCATGCAACCATTCCTACCATTGTATAATGTTGTATTCAATCATTAGGGGAAAAGATTTATTCAGAAGGATACTAGTTAGCTTAATTTAGGTACTATCATGTAATTTTTGTTTTTCTTCCTTTTTTTTGTCTATTCAAAGGCTATATCTTGCATGTCTTGTAGCAGGTGTAATCCAGTTGAAGCATATTATATGGCAGGACGTTGTTTTAGTATTGGATTCTTTTTTGGATATCACAATTTGAACAGCACACACTAAATTTCCAACTTTTGATCTGATGTTTCTGGATACGGGGCATGATGGGCAAGTGGGTGCTTTATACCTAAAGTCATCCGGTGGTGAACAAGGCTGCGACTCTGGTTGCTTTTGTTGAGGTGGAAAAGATTTAAAAAACATTTTAAGGCAATCAAAATGCAAAACCAATATTTACAATGAATATGTCAAAGTCAGAAATTAATTTTTCTTTTTGCCTCTACTTTTCATTTTATACATATGAAAAGGACAATGCTATAACATTATTTTATTGGCTCTGTTTTTTGGCCCCCAAAACATAGACTAGCACCTCGATTGATTTTCTGGCTATGATTCTGACCGAGGATTATGTTTTCTGGCTTTATAGTTACAGCTATTATTATGATAGTATGAGAGAAGATGGTCCGTTCTGCTGTTTATCTCTCTCGAGTTTGTCTCTTTTGTAGCTTTCAAATTCTAACTTGCCATTGTTGTAATAACATAATGAAATATTATGCTTTTCTTCCAAGTAAATAAAATATGGGTTAAGGTTGATCCAATAACCCGAAGTGTTTTTTTAGGTGTTTTCAGTATCCTAAAATATTTTATAGTGCATCTAGCACCCTAAAGTATTTTTTTTTAAGTGCGTTCAATATCTTGAAATATTTTTTAATGCATCCAACACTCCAAAATATATTTTTTATGTGCATCCGACACTCCAAAATATTTTTTAGTGCGATTAGCGCCATGGCAAAAAAAAAAATTAGGGTGTTGGATGCACCTAAAAAATGTTTCAGAATGCTAAATGTACCACAAAATACTTTGAGGTATTTAATGCATCTAAGATAATACTTTGAGTGGTAGATAAACCTTAACCCACAAAATATTACTCCTCCGGTCCTAAATATGAAACCCATTTTACAGTATAATATTTAGACCCATTTTACAGTATAAATTATACTGTAAAATGGATCTCATATTTAGGACCAGAGGAGTATATATCAAATAAAAAAGTTTTGTGAGAATTAATCTTCATTCAACAAATTCATCAATGTTTAATCGAGGTGATCAATTCATCTTCTTTTCATTCGTATTTTTTTTCTTTTTAATCCTGTTTTTCAATTATAACAAAAATCAATCTTATAAATCAATTGTAACAAAACCTATTCTGAAAGAACAATCCTCACGTGCAAATATGAACAAAATAAACCAAAACAGTAAGAAATGGACACGAGAATTATTAACTTTATGACTTTGAATAAACTAGTCATCAATAAGGAGCACATAATCTACATCTGGTTGTGCCAATGAAGGTAACTAGTAGTATTATTCTACATCAATATTTTCCTCCTAATGGTTAAATTATACTACTTCTAATTTTAAATATAAGAGCTAGTTAAAAATTTAATTTTGTGTGTCTGCCTCCTAATGCTTCATGAGAAACCAACAAAAAAAAAAAACAGAGAGAGACCAAAGAAATGGAGTTTGTTAATGACAACTGTATTGCACAAGTTTATATTAGCGACAATGATTACATCCAGAAAACATTTATTTTGTTTCTTTCATGTAAGAAAGTTTGCAAATGATATAGATAATATGTCATATGTAGGGGATAGTGTGGTAACAAGAAGCATAAAGGAAAGAACAAATGAAGAGTCGAAGACAATCATATTATAACTTCATTGATAATTGGAATTAACAAAAGTTTTATATAACTTGGCCAGCCTTTGATGCAGGCAGTTGATTTGTTTTACTGAACCCACCGGTATTTTAAGCTTTCCTTTTTCCGGTTACAAATTTTGTAAACCTTTTCGCTTTTATTTCTTCGAAATATATCTTTGAGAACTAGCTAGCTACAGCATTTGTGACCCTTTGATTCCTATATTTCACTCTTAGAAAGAAGCTTCTTTAAACTTCTATTGACAGCACCATTATTTTTCAAGATTTTCTTAATATGTCTTTGCAACATTTCTACATACCATTTTTCAATATTATGAAATGTTATGAAATTTTAGTCCTTTCAGATCTAAAATCATCTCAAGACAAATATATTAGATACGGTATATGTTCTCTATGTAAGATTATTTTTTGTTTGCTGCACTTTGTTAGGCTTATAACCATTTTTTTGCCTGAGGAAATTTTTGTTTGGAAGAAAAAGGAAAGTGGGGTTCGGGGGATTCGATCGTCGAACAAGTTAGTTGTCAAAAATAATAGAAAAAACCACTGGACCGAGAAACTTTAGGGACATGACCATGAATATATATAAGTCTTAACTCTACTTCGACTCTAACTCATAATAACAATTTACTTGAGAATAATAAATCTTAATTATGAAATGAAAAGTTTGAAATTGAGATTAATAACATATTGTTTTAAAAAACATAATATGTGAAACAATTAAAAATGATAATAGTTCATTTAGAAATAACAAATCCTGATTGTGAAATAATAAGTCTTACGGTAGGATTGACAACACATTTTTTGGCAATGATCCCCCAACCCCACTTTTCTTCCCTTTTTAAAAAAATTCCTCAGCAAAAACCAAAAAGACTCCCACCAACACCGGTAGGCGGCTAGCTAGTTGCTGGTGGTGGATCGGAGGCAAGGGTTCTAGTGTGAGTTTCCAAACTGTGTTGAAGAATAATAAAGGGGCATTTTTATAATTTTCTTGAATTTCAAATTTTTAATTTGTGTTTAGTTCTTTCTTTGTCATTTTCAAGTGTTAGGTATCTGAATTAGGATATCATGATTTCAAGCTTCTTTTTCTGTCATTTTTCTTTTTTTATTTAAGCAATGTTGGAAAATTCAACCCACAAACCTTATACAAGAATTAAATAATAAATATTGAAATTTTCCTATAATTAGTAGGCCAAAAAAATCATATAAATAAAATATTTTATAGATTTTAATTATTAACTTTTAAATATAACTACAAGAATAAAAAAGTATAACAATAATAATATAGACTTAAAATATGTCAATAATAATTTTTATTTGACTTATTTAATGATATTAATAATTAGAAAAATTTTATCTAGATTTCATTTAGTGTGAATGTCAAGCACACGTAGTAGATACCGTGACTCCTTTTTTATAGAGGCAAAAACTTCATTATTGAACTATTTTTCCTTCTCTAATCCCCTATAACTGCTTCTTTTCTGTTTTTAATATAAAAGTTAGATAATTAATTTAAAAATGTGAGGAAAATTAATTATTTTTAACAAAGGTATGTCATTTGTCTAAACTACCATATCTAATTATACGTATTAGAACTATATCCTTTAGTAGAAACCTTTGCAATGAAAAGGGATACATTGAAAAAATAATAATAAATTCAAGTGACAAGATGAATTGAGATATTATATTTAAGATTAAATTTAATCCTCAACTATCTCTTTCAATAAGCACTGGAAGTAGTAACTAATTAAAATGGTAATTAGTGTATATGCAAATCTCAAAACCAAGATCTCTAAAGTTTCTTGTTATTTAATAAACTCGATATATAATTGTAGTTGGGTTTAAAAAACCTAAAATTATCAGTAACTAACAAGTATTTAGTGTTGTGGTATTGTTCTGCAATTTTTTTTCCTTTTATAAAGATCAAAATGCATTAATTAAAAAAAGATCAATTAGGTTACAAAGTCGGCAAAAGAAGGAATTTTGTTTTGGGCAAAAACCAAGTTAATTTTATTAATCAACATAAAAACAAGCACAAACCCTAATAGCTAAAAGGCCAACAGGACCAAAAAGACTCAAACCTAAGTACAACCTAAAGAAAGCAGTAAATACAAACACCAATTCAAAATAAAGCAAACAAACAAACCTAAAGCAAAGGCAAAACATACATCAACCAACACTAATGTCTTCAGCTACCTCCTCTTCCAAACTTCTCAGATACTTCTGCATCATTAATATCAGAGAGGTTGGTGGCTCATTGAGCCATCTTTCTGATGCCAATCCCCTCATAACTTCAGCTGCTAAACAAGTAGCAGCACCATTGCCAACTCGCTCAACCAGCCTCAACTCAATGTCTATCCCTCTATTTGACTACATCAACTGAACACATCTTTGCATTATGTCCATGCATTGCCAGTCACAGCCCCTTGTTTCACCCTTTGGTACTTTATTGAAAAGACCCTAACTATCGGTCTCAATAATCACTCTCCCTCCCCACTGGATCTTTATTCTCTAGAGCTTCCAAAAGAGCAAGATTTTCTACCATAAAAGCAGACTTGGCATCCACTCTTCTTCCAATACCCCCCAAAAACTGACCATTCCAATCCCTTTCCACAACACCAAGCAAAGGTTTCTGCCACTTCAATTGGCGAACATTACTAGTATCTCTATCCACCAATCTTTTTATCTTTTCCACAGCCTCTCGATGATCCCTAACCAATCTTGAAGAAACAGTAACACAATTAGCAGCATCAGTATCAATATGCTCAAAAATAAACTTGCATCTTGCCTTCCATTTTCCCTAATGTAAGCCTGCAAACATAGCCTTCTCATACTCACTTGGCCTGCCTACATTACCAAACCAGTCCTCTAACCATTTGTCCAATCTGAAATCGCCATTGCTGTTGATTCTCGGTGAGAGAGGAGAACCAAACCAGCAATGACTAGCCCATGGATAAAAACTAAAAGAGCACGTTCTATTGTTTCAGCCTCTTGTACAACAAGTCGTTGGTAGCTACAGCACCATTGAGAGCCCTCCATAAAAAATGAAGGACTTTTATAGGCATCTTGATATGTCAAATTCCCGACCAAAGTGACTTTGAAGTACGTAAGAGTAGGTACTGAAACAATCTTCTCTGTAGCTTTATATAGAGCTACTTTATAGCCCAATTTTACACAATAATCACCATCCTTGCTCCCTATCCACACAAACCTGTCTCTTTGATTGAAAATAGGAATGCAAATCCTTCTAATCACTTCATTATCTTCTTCAGAAAACCAGTCCTCAAAACCACCAAAGCACCAATCACCATTCTTGATCAAATCTTTCACATAGAGATTTTCCATATCCTCTAATGCCATTTTCAGTCTCATCAATCCACTTATTAGTAAACACTTTAATGGACTCACCATCACCTATCTTCCAACAGAGATCATTCTTCAACAACTCTTTACCCTCTAATAAACTAATCCATCCCCATAATGCCTTGCTACCAGCCTTAGCCTTCAAAAAATCAACATTAGGAAAATAGATTCCTTTCAAAATCCTACACCATAGATCATTAGGATTTTGAATAATCCTCCAAGCTGTCATAGCAAGCAAAGCTTTGTTAAAGGCCTCCAAACTTCTGAAACTCATTTGCCATTCGCCTTTAGCCTTACTTAATTCTTTTCAGGCCTTCCAATGAATCATGCCTTCTTGTTCCTTCTGTCCCCACCAAAACTTTGACACCATGCTGTCAAGTTCACTACACACCCTCTTAGGGAATTAAAAACAAGAGATGGGATAGATTGGAATCGTATTGGCTACTGGTTTGATTGGAACTTCCCTACCTGCAAAGCTCAGCAATTTCTGCTTCCACCCTTGCTACTTTTGTCCCATTTTGCATTTAACAAAAGAAAGGGCTTCTATCTTTGATTTTCCCCACACCATTGGCAAACTCAGATATTTGCCCGGGTCATCTCTGGCATTAATCCCTAATTCTTCATAAACCTCATTCTTCAATTCTTCTCTGGTATTCTTGGATCGCCTGTCCTGAAGCCTTGCAGTGCCACTCTTCCAGCTTCTTCAATCTTCTGCAATTCTGTTTTCTTGCATTAGTGAAGAACACAGCATCATCAGCAAAGAAACAGTGAGTAGCAGAGGACACATACTGGCCTGTTTAATCCCCTTCAATCAAGAAGGACAAGCATTAAAAACTAAAAGCTAGCTGGTCATTGTTCGGCAATACATATACATATATATAATATAATCTGTTATCTCAGTAGTGACTCAGTAGTCCTATCTATGAGAGAGAAGCTGAATCCCTATTACTCGACTCATTGAGTTAGTTAAGTAATTAGATTTGAATTTAAATATAATTATATATGGTCTTGGAGACATTTTTGTTTCTAGTATTTAAATAGCTTATAAATTAATATATAATTTAATGTTATATATGGATATTGAAGAAAAATCAGGTCACATTTGTATAATTAATTAATTGATTGGTTTGATTTTTTTTAATATTCAATAGTGCAACTTTTAAATATTTCTCTATCTTCCCCCATTCATTTTTTTTAAAGCCAGGTATCTTCCCCTAGTCCATTGGAAAACCTCGCATATTTAGTTGTCAAACTTTTAACATGTCTAATCTTGCCCCTGTTAGAAAATTTTGCACAGAGAGTGCAACTTTAAATATGTCTCTATCAATGGTCCAACTTTTAAAATAGGTCTCTATTTTACCCAATTCATTTTTTAAGCCGGGTACCTTCCCCACTTTCAAGTTCAAGGTACAAAGTCAGGGAAAAAAAAAAGGACAAGTATTAAAATTTAAAAAAAAAAAACACACACACACACGCACAGCTGGTCAATGTTCGGCAATACACACAATAAAATATATCATTTTCATATATATATATATATATATAATGTAATTTCATATCCCCGTGACTCAATCCTATCTATGTTTGTGTGTGCGTGCATATGTTGATGATGACGCGCCCGTTATTGTTTTGACTATTGATTTTCTAGTAGATGGAAGAGGTAGGGAGCGAAGCTGGATCCTTATTATTCATTTCATTGAGTTAGTTTTTTTTTTCCCCAATGGAAATTCATTCAAATTCAATCAAATGAAAGAGCAATTACAACGTCTAAAGTTGGCTCCTATATTAAACTTGAGCCCAAAATGGTTTTTTTTTTTAAAAATCTTCTTGCCCCTTGTTTTACAAACCAGGCCTTCTTAAAAAGGGAAAAATTCCACTAAAATGCTTTGTAAATTTCAAAATTTCAAAAAAGTGACACCAATTTTTAAAATTCCAAATCAGTAATCTGAATTAAATTGAAATTTGGAAACGCCGGTGATTTTATAATATTGCTCTTTATTTCTAAAGAAAAACAATACATAGGGGCAAAAATACTTTGGAAATTAAAAAAGACAAATAGAAAGTAAATTGAGAGCTGAATTCTATTGGTAAGGATGGATTCTTACAAAAATAATTAAAATATTAATTCTCATGAAAGTTTGTAGTTTGACCCACTGTTGGATTTAAAGACCAAAAGATTCCTCTTATAAAAAAAGAAAACGAGAAAAGAAAAGGCCATCATATGCCGGCGTTTTGAAACAAATTTCGTGGAAGCTTCGCCTCCTCTGGACCTTAGCTCCTGCCCGAGCAAACAACAGTAGCCCTCCGTGGCAAACACTCCTGCCCATGAGGTTTTCCAACGTTTCCTTTAGGAAAAAAAAATAGAAAAATGACATGTTAATTTCATAATACCCAAAACATCTGTCCAATTTTACAAATTCCATTTTGGTTTCAAGAGACCAAATTAGGATTATCATGTTAAATAAAAAGACTAAATTACCCTTCATTTTATTTATTGTTTTTAAAATACCAAAACTTCCACTGGCCGGCTAGTCACCGGAGCTCCGGCGACCGGTCAACAATTGGTTACCGAAACTCCGGAGATCGGAAATAATTTTTTTTGAAAATTTTTACAACTGCAGTTTAACGGTTAACAACTTTTGTAACGCTATTAACAACTTCAGTATAACAATTAACAATAGGTTTTCTGAGAAATTCAACAAGTTTCGGCAGCCGGAAACAATTTTTTTGAAAATTTTTACAACTTTAGTATAACGGTTAACAACTTTTGTAATGCTATTAACAAATTCAGTATAGCAGTTAACAACAAGTTTTTCAGAAAATTCAACAATTGGTCGCCGGAGCTCCGATGGTCGGAAACAATTTTTTTTAAAATTTTTACAACTACAGTATAACGGTTAACAACTTTTGTAGCGCTATTAATAACTTTAATATAACAGTTAACAACAGGTTTTCTGAGAAATTCAACAAGTTCCGACGGCCAGAAACAATTCTTTTGAAAACTTTTACAACTTCAGTATAATGGTTAACAACTTTTGTGATGCTATTAACAATTTCAGTATAACAGTTAACAACAAGTTTTTCAGAAAATTCAACAATTGGTCGCCAGAGCTCCGGTGGTCGGAAACAAATTTTTTAAAATTTTTTACAACATCAGTATAACGGTTAACAACTTTTGTAAAGCTATTAACAACAGGTTTTTCGAAAAATTCAAAAAGTAACATTTTTACAACTTTAATAACGCCGTTAACAAGTTCCGTAGCCTATTAACAACTTCGGTATAGCATTTAACAACATGTTTTCTTAAATATTAAAAAAAATAGTATTTTTACAACTTTAGCAACTACTTTTTTTCTGGGAAAATTTTTATAACTTCAGTATAATAATTAACAACTTTTGTAACGCTATTAACAACTTCAGTATAACATTTAACAACAGGTTTTCTGGGAAATTCAACAAGCTTTGGCGGCCGGAAACAATTTTTTTGAAAATTTTTACAACTTCAGTATAACGGTTAACAACTTTTGCAACGCTATTAACAACTTCAGTATAGCAGTTAATAACAAGTTTTCTGAGAAATTTAACAAGCTCCGGCGGTTGGAAACAATGTTTTTGAAAATTTTTACAACTCAATATAACAGTTAACAACTTTTGTGATGCTATTAACAACTTTAGTATAGCAGTTAACAATAGGTTTTCTAGGAAATTCAACAAGCTTCGGTGGCCGGAAACAATTTTTTTGAAAATTTTTACAACTCAATATAACAGTTAACAACTTTTGTGATGCTATTAACAACTTTAGTATAGCAGTTAACAATAGGTTTTCTAGGAAATTCAACAAGCTTCGGTGGCCGGAGACAATTTTTTTGAAAATTTTACAACTTCAGTATAACAGTTAACAACTTTTGTGACGCTATTAACAACTTCAGTATAGCAATTAACAATAGATTTTCTGGAAATTCAACAAACTCCGGGGGGTCGGAAATAATTTTTTTAAAAATTTTTACAGTTTCAGTATAACGGTTAATAATTTTTATAATGCTATTAACAACTTCAGTATAGCAATTAACAACAGTTTTTCTGAGAAATTCAACACGCTCCGGCGGCAGGAAACAATTTTTTTGAAAATTTTTACACTTTCAGTATAATGGTTAACAACTTTTGTGACGCTCTTAACAACTTCAGTATAGCAGTTAACAACAGGTTTTTAAAAAATTCAACAATTGGTCGCAGAAGCTTCAGTGGTCGGAAACAATTTTTTTAAAATTTTTTACAACATCAGTATAACAGTTAACAACTTCTTGTAAAAATTTTTAAAAAAATTATTTCCGACCACCGAAGCTCCGGCGACCAATTGTTGAATTTTCTGAAAAACCTGTTGTTAACTGCTATACTGTAGTTGTTAATAGCGTCACAAAAGTTGTTAATCATTATATTGAAATTGTAAAAATTTTCAAAAAAATTGTTTCTTGCCGCCGGAGCTTGTTGAATTTCTCAGAAAACCTGTTGTTAACTGCTATACTAAAATTGTTATAGCATTACAAAAGTTGTTAACCGTTATACTGAAGTTGTAAAAATTTTTTAAAAAATTGTTTCTAGCTGTCGGAGCTTGTTGAATTTCCCAGAAAACCTGTTGTTAATTGTTATACTGAAATTGTTAATAGCGTTAAAAAAGTTGTTAAACGTTATACTAAAGTTGTCAATATTTTCAGAAAAATTATTTCCGATCGCCAAAGCTTCGGTAAACAATTTTCGGCTGGTCGCTGGAGCTCCGGTGACTGCCACCGCCGGAGCTCCGATGACCGACCGGCCAGTGGAGGTTTTGGTATTTTAAAAACAATAAATAAAATGAAGGGTAATTTAGTCTTTTTATTTAACATGATAATCCCAATTTGGTCTCTGGAGACCAAAATGGGATTTGTGAAATTGGACAGACGTTTTGAGCATTATGAAATTAACATGTCATTTTTCTGTCTTTTTCCCTTTCCTTTATTCACTACGTTTTTATTTGCATGC